AACACATTACAATTTTCAAACGAGTGCTTTGGGACCATTCCATTTCTGTAAACTAATGGCTATATCTTTGCTATTTTCTGAAGTAAAATCACGTTAAACCTAAGCATATAATGCATTGGATGATGACGGAAGCACGGTCATCATTTGTAAGGATCATTTTATCGTTAAGCAACTAGAATTAACAATATTTTGCGATGAAAAGCAGTCGATAATTTGAAGGAATCAAATTATTCGTTAATAAATAACAAATATCGTCTCAGCCGCTTATTACACTTGGGTGAATTCTACTGAAATAAAAAAGCTTTCTGTTCTCATCAGATGATACATCATTCGGAAAAAGGTAGACCGTTCTGAAAATGTGGAGGTAAAATGGAGAGATGTGCGATGCTGAGATAGACATGGAAATGATCAAATGCGAGGAAGCAAGAGTTATGTGGTATGCACAAAGATTCACAATTTCTTCTGATGACCAGAATAAGTACGAAGAATTCATGCCAAATTTTCGGAGCAGTGTATCTAAACAGGCGAAGAACTAGGCTGCATCTAAACAAAGTAAATTCATCCTCACCTGCATGATGAAATGTAGAAAACGGTTATAACGCGCTACACGTTGATGAAGAAACCTAACGAATGAATTTGATTATAACTTTCAATCATGTTTACTCCTGATTAGGAACACTGCTGTCAACATAAAGAGGAAATAACTGAACAATCAAAATCGATCACTACAATATAGACTGTTCATAATTGCCTATGCAATTCGAAGACGATTGATACGTCAGAAAAAACTTTCAGTGTGCCTAACTTCATGAAGTTTTCGCACTGAAATTCTCTGATGAGCAATCTACCAAAACATCATGATCAGTGCATGGAATGAAGAAAGGAGAACACCGATAATTTCCTATGGTTGAAGTTCTAGTGCGCATCGATAAAATTTCGGCATTCATCGTGGATCAAAGCGTCGAAGTAGGATGAAACGAGTACTGTGCACAACATAAGAAAATAATGGAAGCTTTTAATGATATGAACCAATTCAGCATAGCCATTAAGAGGACCCTAATGAAAACGCGCCATGTATCTCTATGAGTCTCGTATCATTATGAACATTCTCATATTTTACTGCTGGTGAGTAGGACGAACCGCGTTTTCATTAATACCTTAGCGTACATGAAATGCGAGAATTTCAGTGGCCAAAAAGGAATGAACAAGCGAACAAAAGTACCTGAATGTTTATTCAAGCAAACGCCATCGCACGAATAAAACATCAATTGAAACGAAATGCCATATTTGAAAAACCGTAATATCGGTACGTCTTCGAAAAACCTCAGAATAATCTCTGAGAGCAAGTGTAAGTGAAAGTAGATTCCACGGTGGGAACTGAACAAGCGAGGCAATTTTTCGTTAACGTTTGCGACTTAGATGCTCTATTAATTGAAAAGGATTTAATTTCAGCTATAATCTGCAGAGTTAGTAAAGTATTACACGCACCCTTGGTATGTCGCTGCTCAGGCTATTGTGATTTATTTTTGATTGCCGAGAGCTTTGATCGAGCCGTCTTAATCCATACCAGTCAAGCAAAAACTGATGAAGATATGCCAAATGACATGAACTTATTCATGTTGCAATTATACTGCAATTTCATATTTTGTACTAAAAAAATAGATTATTTTTGAACGCAGAACATAGTTGGTTAAAATTATTTCTGTTTGTTTCATTCCATGGCATAGCAGCACCACCAACACAGTGAGGATGGTAAATTAAAAGTGCGCAATTACTGGAACACTGAAAGCGATTACCTACGATTACCACTAAAATGAGAATTTTGGTGGTAATCGTTGTACCAAATTCTACTAGAATTATGAATCGGCAATAATCCTTCAGCAAAAGCACTTTCTGGCAACTTCGAGAAATTGTGAGGAATCAACGAGATTATTTACGGAAAAAGTATAGAAGCGAAATGGTTGTACCATTTAATAAGGTTCCAAAAAATCATCCAAAATCGGAATAAGATCGCAAATGATCACA